GGTAGTATTAATATTTATGTCTATGAAAATATATTTTATAATTAAATAAATGGTATTTATTTTAAATCATGCATCTTAATATTTTTAAATATAATTTTAATCAAAATTTCAATTGTTTGACTTTCTGAAAAGTGAAAATTGCATTCTCGGAGGGAGTATACCGAGACCAAGTGGTCGACACTGAACATTGGCTTGGCACTGCCAAACACACTACCCTCGAGGACCAGCATCCGTCATACTATGAGTTGCTCCAACTGAAAATATATGCACACGAGTCCACGAAATTTCCAAGTTTTCTGGGCCCAGCAAGAGCACGCAGTAAGCATAGGCCTAGGAGGAGTAACATGACCACCAGCCGGCTCACTACCGAGGGCTCTTTGGCACGGCTTATACCGACTTTAGTTGCATCTATTTTACGCAAATCAAAGGGCACTGTAGCGTGAAATTATTTTGTAAGCCGAAGTTAAAATAAATTAGAAACCGAGAAAAACTAGTTTTTCTAGCTTCACCGGCTTTGGCTTCACCGGCGAAGCCGTTTTGGATGAGCCGTGTCAAAGGGGTCTTAAAGCCCACGGCCGTGTATATGTGCTAGCCCCAGGCTGTTGTGTATGACTTTGGCTTTGGCCACTCGTCTCGTTGCAGTCATTTAGAGAACGAATCTGGTACCAAACTCTCTGGCGTCTCAGTTAGCCACGTCTCTAGCGTCTCAGTTAACCACGTCGCCTCTTTTTTTGGAGCGTTGGATTTTGATCTAGCCGTTTGAAACTGAACGTAACTTCTAGCGTTTCTAGATCCTTCTCTAGCGCTGTCCGCTGTATGTTGCGACCGCCGCGTTCTATATCTCGCGACTGCCACCTCGCTCGGTCCGTTACCGCCGCCTCCCTCCCAGCCGCACCACAGCAGCAAGGGAAGTAGTAGATCGTTGCTGCTTCACCCGCTTCCGCTTGGACCTCATAAGGCTGGATGCCTGGATCCCACATTCCCACTCCGTGAGACCGTGACAACTCCTACAAGATCTACAAGGTACTTGGTGCACGCCTGCTCTCCCTCCGTTCATGCCCCTCGCGCTGGGCTCAGCTGAGCGTTGTTGTATCCTCAAACAAGGATACAAAGTTCCTGCCCCAAGTGTGTGGCGACGGCAGGCAACAATTAGTCCCGGTTATAGTCTAGAGCTGGGACTAAAGGTTATCCTTTATTCCCGGCTGGACCCTCCAGCCGGGAATAAATCTTTACTCCTGGCTTGAGGCTCGGCTCTGGGCTATAATCGGGATAAAATCTTTCTTGATAAAATAATATAGTTGCGCTGAACAAAAAAATGGGGCAGCCAGGCATTGAACCCACGACCTCATAGCCAAGGTCCAAACCGCAGCGCACTAGCTAGCCATCTGAACTAAGTCACTTTCTCGACAAGAAAGCACCCAACCATTTAAATAATAAGAGAAAAGACCCTTTAATTGATTATATTCTTTTGTTAACTATACTTTGAATTTTCTGGTCCATGTGCTTTCTAGTGCCTCATTGATCTCATAATTTTTATCAGGGTTTCAAATGCCCAGTGTGAAGCCACCACCAAGTTCGAGATTTTTTTGAATTGGTTTGGTAATTTTTTCACTTTAATTGAATTTCCACGCTACTTCACCGATTAATTATCGTTGAGCCTGAGTCCACCCCGAAAAGATCCGGAATGGTGCCAAACTTTGCCAAATGGTCTCTTGTGCCCTAGGAGACAAATATTTGTGGAGGTTGATGCAAAATTATATTGTTTTGAATATATAATTAATTCGCCGTATTTCATCTCTCACGCAAAAGAAAATGTAATAATAAAATAATTATAAGGAAAAACCTAAGATATGTGTGGGGCCATATTTTGGATGTAAATGACTGCCAAAAATTTTTAAGCCATTTCAACATAGGCGGAGTCGACATGCTTCAGAGGTATATGGTTCAAACAGGAAAAAGCTGTTGCACAACTCGGAGAACAAGAATTGCAATCAGTCCCTCCTCTAGTTATTGCTAATGAATATGGTTCAAACATAGATATGCTGGATATGATGGAAATACCTGGGCTGGATATGGCGGAACTTGCTAACTTTTATGCTATGAGAGGTATCGACCTTGGCGATTTTCTCTTGAAAAAGTCCAGATAGCGGATGAATGGCGAAATATGAGCATGGCGTGGAGTCTATGGAATCCTAAGGCGATCAATGAACTGGGTACACAATTGTTCAAGCTAAACACCTTGTACCTGACGCGTGTCACCGAAAGAGTTCTATATTTCATCGAATCAAAGCGACCATTGGAAAAATGGCGATGACGTTATGTACATTGAAGAATTACACCAACTAGTCCCACGAAACTCTGACAAGGCCGCTCTCGTAAGTGATTCTTTCTACTAATTAATAATAAGTGCATACGTACATAACGTGTTTATTATCCTCACTCTATATATATGATAAGGTTTGAGATGGGAGAGTGCAAAAGAGAGGTGTCTTGATATTGGTTTCATTGATCCATATATCGATTCAAAACCCTAAACCCCAACCAACATGGAAAGCGTAAACGGAAGCCAATATCAAGATGTTCTTAGAGAAGCAACGTGACAAGAAATATATACTCTTCCCCTATAACCGGTGTAAGTGTTCATAATGTCGCCGCGATCGGTATCCATATATATATAAACCAACGTTAGCTAATTAATGAGTGTTAATGGACTTGAATTTGGATATTGATGGAACTCGATCCGGAGAAAGGTCTTCTAGGCATACGGGACTCGATGAGAAAAGAGCAAAAAGAGTTCCAAGAGATGATGGATATTAAGAGGTAATTGTAGTCTCACTAGCAAAACTATTCCAAAGATATCACTGTATGCAAATTAATGGTCCAAATATTTTTATGTTATTTGGTGGTTGTTGGAAAAAAAGCTAGAACACCATATAAAACGCATAAAGTGTGCTCTTGAAAGTAGTGCTATACAAAGTAAGTACTATATACCTACCTTAGTTCAATTTCCCTGTGCTTGGATGATGACGAATCTTTTTTCGTAAAGTGGGTTCTGCTGCAGCCTCAGGGGACCAATCTCTATGGATACTATGTTTGCGAGTTCATGAGAGTGTGCTCAAAAAGAACTAGTCTAGAGAAAAAAGGGTAAGTGTACACATATATATATATATTCTTCATACACACACACACATATATATATATATATATATATTCGTGATAGATACAATTTATTTATCATTATTCTTGATACATATATATATATATATATACTAATATACTTTTTCTTTATCTCATATCTCAAATTGAAGACTCGTTGGTTGAAGGAAAAAACCATGGACACACATCATCTCAAAGCAATCCAAGAGACAATAGGTGGATTTCTGAATGATCAGGTCTTAACTCCCGACGGCAAGTTTTACTATGACCCAAATATGTGATGATGAAAGCCAAATTTTATATTGATCCAAAGAACATGTGATGATGAAATGTATAATTAATGCAAACTTTACATGTGACGATGAAATGTAATATTATGTTTTAGTTTACTTTTACTTGTGTTGCTTGCGTGCATTGATCGAGTGAAAACTTTACAGTACGCGCACATATACGTATATTACTTTGCAGCGAATAATGCGTATTCGAAAACCAAATTAAAACAAAAAAGAATCATCAATTGAAATAAGCAGGAAAAGAAAAAAAGACCCTTTAGTCCCGGTTTATAATACCAACCGGAAATAAAGGGGCCAGCCCAGGCGCTGGCTGGCTACCTTTTTAGTCCCGGTGGTCCACTTCTATTTCCGGCTACTAACCCTTTATTCCCGAACTCCTATTCCCGGCTGCGTAACCGGGAATAAAGAGGGTTGGCAGCCGGGAATATAAGCTCTTTTTTTACTAGTGGTAAGTATCTGGAAGTTGATTTATTTTGTACCGCGAAGGAGTATTATAGAATGCTTATATATTCAGATGTTCACTACATACCAAATTCTCAAGACTTCAAATAATTAACAATCAAGTCGCAATTTAGTACAAATTTGGCATATACCCAATATAGTATTTGTTTGTTTCCATAACTGAGATTTCTACGTGCCCATCAAAAAACACTAGCTATGTTGGTTGTGCTTCGATGAGTAACATGATGAGATAATGAGATGAAATGTTATTTAATTATCTCTGCTACCTCTGATACACAGGTACAAAAGCATAAATATTAATAAAATAACAAGCTATCTGATTTTTATTTCTCACTTGCATACTTTTAATGTGAAACAAAGATAGAAGTGCCCAATATGCAAATATAGTAATTGTATTTGAGAATATTTTACCTTTATATTTACACATCTAAATCACCAATTGTCCTGAAAATAGGCCGTCACGTACTAGTATATAAGGGATATGGATGTTTTTAGATAGACCTTCCATTGCCACATCATGCGTTATCTGCTATCCCAAACTTCAATTTATTTTCTTCATGTCTAATCTAGCTATCCAATTACAGGAACTACAAGATTAACAATGGTCACCTTAATTAGAGATGGCATGGCAAAATCCAAAATTTGATTTATGTGATTACAAACTTGACGATCAACAATGGTTACCTAAAAGATGGTGCGCGGCAACGCTGCGCCCAAGATTTCTAGTTTTTTATAAACTATAGCGACTCTTTTTATGGCATTGTACGTACAGGTATGTAGCCCCTAGCTGCAAGTACTCTCTGTCATCCATCATAAAAGGCGATGCCTTTGCTTCTGTGTAGCACACAGAATCGTGTCTTTAACTTGGCTTGTCGTCCACGCTTCTCCTCATCAGTCCTCACATGCATCCACCTGACCTTCATTGCAGCGTAGTCAGCCATGAGCCATCACATGCATGAAAACAAAGGTGTTGTTATATATACCGCATTTAGCTTTGAAGCCTGCAGAGCTCTCTCTCTCTCCATATTTGCTCATTGCGAACAAGGAGAGGTGGACAAAGGGAGGGGAAAAAAAAAACTAGCCACCCCCATGGCCTCCAGCCTCGTGAATCTGCTGCTCATGGAGGTGGCGGCCATCGTCAGCATTGTCCTGCTCGCAATCCTGGTTGTGCTGAGCTCCTACCGCCGCCGCTCCGGTCATCCGGCACTCCGCCTCTTCGTCTGGGCCGCGTCCACTCTCTTTCTCCCGCTCGTGTCCTACGCCGTCTCCGCGGCGGCCAAGTGGGACGCATCAGCGCGCGTCCCGCTCCTCCTCGCCTGGATCGTCTTCCTCCAGATCCTGCGCAACACCATCGACACCGCCCGCTCCTCCACTTCGACCATCAGCAGCAGCGGCTCCAACGGAAGCAAGTTCCGGCCGTCGGTCGAGCAGCTGGCGAGGATGGGGTGGGTGGCGTTCCTCATCATCAGCAGTGGTGGTGCCGCCGGGAGCCCACTGCTCACCGGCGTCCTGCTGTGGCTGTGGGTGCTCAGCCTCCTCAAGCTCATCCACAGGCTCGTCGCTGCCGAGCTCGCCAAGAACTCATTCGCTGTCGGCCTCAACTCGTACCTCGTCGCCGACTACATGAAGCAACTCCATGGGCATGGGCATGGTCAGGCAGGCCAAGGTGGACTAGAAGTGCCTCCTCCTTACTTTGTGAAGGGTGAGGAGAAACTGCCTATCAAGCCTAGGCCGCATGGGTACCACATTGACAGGACTACTGCAGCTCCGCCGTCATTGTCCAATGACCTGAACGCGGGGCATGTCGTCACCGTGGACAGGATATGGTCGCTTTCCTCGTCCGGCGACCCTCTCCTCGCATCCTGCCCGCAGATCAAGGACCTGTGCCTCTCTTTTGCCCTGTTCAAGCTGCAGCTCCGGCGGTTCATTGGGTGCCCACTCGCCGAGGCCGGCTGCCACCGTGCCATGGCATTCGTGCAGGACGGGCTCCTTGCTGGTAGTGGTAGCCCAGAGACGGTGTTCCGGGTGGTCCAGGCCGAGCTGTCCTTCCTCGCCGACTTCCTCTACTCGAAGCTCACCGTCTTCTACGCCAGCGGGTGGTGGTTCCCGGCTCTCAACTCAATCCTCGTGCTTGCCACGTGGATCAGCTGCCTCGCGGCCGGCGGCGCCATCGTGCACGACATGACGAACCCCGGCACGGCGCTCGCCCAGGACTACCAGAACCTCCGGAACTACCTGCAGCACCACGACACGGTGTTCCACGTCATCGTTGGCCTCGACATACTCGTCTCCGTCTCCTTCATCGTCTGCATCGTGTTCACGGAGGGGTGGGAGATCGCCAACTACGTCTGCTCCGACTGGATCAAGGTGTCCGCCATCTGCGAGTACGCGCGACGGCCGACGTGGCGGAAGTCGCCGTGGGCGCGTCGTAAGCTCAGCCGCCTGCTCTGGCTCCGGCCCATGCAGCAATGGGACGACCGGTTCTGCCAGGTGTCCATCCTGCAGCTTCGGTTCTGCTACTGCGGCTGCGTCTCACGGCAAGTCGACCGGATCGTGAAGAAGACCGTCGCAGTGCCCGCGGCGGTGAAATCCGCCATTGTGGTGACGCTCAGAACAAACAAGGGTAGGCTCGGGAACGGCGAGCGGTCCTTGCAAGGCAACGGAGTCGCGGGCAACCTCTTCTGGGCTTGCCGTATTAAAGCCGGCGACGACAATGCCGTGGACAGCCTATCCGAGCAGATTCTCGTGTGGCATCTCGCCACGAGGCTGGTCGAGCTCAAGCGCTCCGAGGGAGCTCATGGTGGCAAACTCGACAACGACAATAATGACACAGATGGGGAGAGCGACCTCGACCTGGTGGTTGTTGCTACACGGCTGTCCCGTTACTGCGCCTACCTGGTGGCGCTGAAGCCGGCCCTCCTGCCGGACCACCGCGCGTGGACGGAGGAGCTCTACGAGGGAGTGGTGGAGGAGGTGACGAGGGTGCTCGCGCGCTGCGCGGGGCCGGTGGTGACGTACGAGCGCGCCGCGACGTGCCTCGGTGGGAGCATGAACGCGACGTTGAGGAAGGCGTCCAAGCTCGGGCGGCAGCTGGTGGAGGAGGTCAGCGACGAGGCGTTGTTGTGGAAGGTGGTCGCCGACTTCTGGGCGGAGCTCATCCTTTACCTCGCGCCGTCGGAGAACGTGACCTCGCACTCCAAGTCGCTCTACCACGGTGGCGAGTTCATAACCGTGCTGTGGGCGTTGCTCGGTCACGCTGGCATTGTTGGGCGCCCGGAGACTGACAGCACTGATATCTCAGCCTAGAATCGATTCTTTCTCCTTTTGTACTTGCTTTACATATGGGAAATTGTACATACATATTGATCATTGTTGTTTACATTTCCTCTTCTTTTTCACATGCACAAATGGAAATTTGCTTTATATAGGATGTAATATGTATTGGCCTAACAATCATATAGCTCCAGGCATTTTACTCCTATTTTTGCTACAGTAGTGACTAGTCTCAATACGATTCGTGCACCATTCCCAGTCTTTCCATTGGGCCACGTCTACGGTAAAAGCTAGGCCGTCGGATCGGGCATCAATGGTCAAGGGGATGCTGGAGTTTAGCAAAGACCTGGCCCCGTGGCCCAGGCACCCATGCGTGTTTGCTGACGTGGCACGTCACGCGGCATACCAGCACGGCAGCTCCCATGAGAACCACTGCTGGGCATGGGAAAAGACAGTTTTGCCCCTGTTGTTTCTCCCCTGTGCTGGCTGACGCGTAGGCCCCACATGTCAGCTCCTCCTTCAACCTCCCGCCGTCACCATGCCGCTGCCTCCGCTGCTTCTCGTCCTCGGCTCTCGCTGCTGCGGCGCCTGTGGGTGTCTGCTTCGCCAGTGATGGCACGCCGCACGCGAGCCCTGCCGCGCTAGTCGCCGCGGGCGAGCTCCACCGCTGGCGAGCCCGCCGCGACCTGTATCCTGTATACACGCACGCACGCCCCCGGCAAACAAGTCAGCGAACGACGGCGAACCGGAGGGCGGGCATCTCGGCCGGCGGCCGTAGCGTGCCTGAGCTGGGTCGCCGCGGCCACGCGGGCCGCGTGGCGGGATTGGCTTGGTGATTGAGAGGGCGCGGACCGGCCTTCCGTCGATCGCGTGCTCGTACGCATCGTTAAAATTTTCCCTGGTCCGACGCGCGGCGCGGAACGTATCTAACTCGCCCGCCTCTGGTTCAGCGTCCACGTCTGCCCGTGGTGGCACGGGGTGGCCGCCTGCCTAACCTCACCTCACTTCCGTTCGTTTGTTCTGGCCTGTGACCCAACCCATTTCGTACGAGATACAAGCATGTTTACCGAACTTATTACTGCCTGCGTCCAAAGTAATGCGTTTGGTCGAATTAAACCTGATCATTCGATCTATCGATCTACTACAGTCCTTTGAGCCCCGCCGCGTGGCCCCTTCCCATCTCCGGCGATCGTGGCCTTGGCTCCGACGAGCGCGGGCAACTGCGGTGTGATGGCCGGCTGCACGAGCTCCTCCCCTCCCTAGCGGCATGGTGATGGCTGGAGGTTGATGGAGGAGCTGACATATGGGGCCCACGTGTCAGCCAATGGTGGGGGAGAAACAACAGGAGCGAAACTGTCTTTTTCCATGCCCAGTAGTGGTTCTCATGGTTCTCATGGGCACTGCTACGCTGGCATGCCACCTCAGAAAAAGTGACAAAATCTTAGGCGTTTCAACATATAAAACTAGCAATCTGAGAGAGGTGTCATCCGTAAAGATGACAAAAAGTTAAAAATCGCCCACCGTCGCCCCAGGCCGGTCGGCCGCAGCCGATCCTTTGCTTCGCTGCCGCTGCGCCCCTGCCATGGCGTCCCCGGCGCCCTTGGCGTTGCAGTCATGATCCTCCCGTTCCCTTCCCCATGCCCACGTCGCTGGCTCCTCCATCCGCACGTCTTCGTCTTCCCTTCTCCCTCCTCCCCTTCTTCTGCGATTTTTTTTATTTTAAACACTTTTTTAAACTAATTTTAAATCTAACACTGCTTTATTTTTCTCTCTCCAAAACTAACACTTTTGGCCGCACCTATTTCCATGGTGCGGTGAAACGACTGTGCCGCGCCATGTATGGTGGCGCGGCGGGAGGGATGACGTGGCGACGACCGGGGCGCTGACCGGTGACGTGGCAGGGTCTGCCGCACCACCGCTCTTGGCGTGGCACTAACGCCCCCTAATCAAGGCGCGGCAGAGCGGCTAAAGGCCCGCGGCCCAGTCCCGCCGCGCCACGCCCTACAACCGCTTCGCCGCTTGCTTTGCACTACCTTTGCCGCGCCCACTTTCGCTTTGCCGCCGCGCTGCCATTGCCACACCACACCACGTCTGGCGCGCGCCACTCCGCGCCGCGGCCATGCCCTGGCTGGTCAGCGCCACGTCGTCGCCGCACACCGGTCGGCGGCCGCTCTTGCTGCGCGTCGTCGCCAAGACACCTGCCGTAGCGCCACCCCTCCGGCCGCCCGCCGTGTCCTCCGACCACGCACATAGGTATTTGTAAAATTCATCTAGCTTCTGTAAAATTCATATAGGTATTTGTTAGGGATATCAACACGTCTCATGTGCAATGAATTCTGCGTGTATGTTTCGTTAAATTTCTTTTGTAAAATATATACATCACCTTTCGTTTTAGAGTTGGGAAAGAAGCTTCTGGTATATATATTATTATCGTGGGGCTATGGTTATCTTTCTATATTATATGTATCTATTTTTATTTTAAAGTTAGCAAAGAAGCTTTTAGCATACCCAGTGGCACAAAACCATGGTTTTGTTTTCCTAAATTGTCCATAGATACGTTCACCCGCCCATAGATACATTCATCCGTATTTGTATAGCAGTTAGTAAGGGAACCTCTAGCATACTCATTAGCGCGGTGCCATGAATAGCTTCCCGTATTATCCGTATTCATTTTCATTCAAAAGTTGGTAAAGAAGCTTTTAGCGTACTCGCTAGCGCGAAGCCGTTGCTTTAATTTGTCTTTTCAAGTTGTGCGTAAATGCTTAAATGTGGGGAGTGAGTGGGAAAAGGTCGTCCCTTCTAGTGGATGGAAACGGGCTATCATGAGAGGAAAGAAAGGAAAGCTATATAGCAAATATAGTTATGGCTTCTCTCCAATTATAGATTATGTAAATTATATACTGTAAATCAACAGTGCAATGAAAAAGAAATGAAAGCTATATAGCAAATGCAGTTATGGCATCTTCTAGTTGTCTTGTGTCTAAACAGCTATACATAGAAGTTGCTTATTTTTCTAGTGAACTTGTTTAATATGTCCGTTAATATTACTTTGAATATATTCATGTGCTTTCATATTGTGTTCGTATTACATAACAAGTAGTTCAAATTTTGCAATTTGAATACTCTAACCCTTTGTTTATCAATTTGTAATAGGATGGCATCTCCCACGCAGCACCAGTTGTATCCCCTTCTTGAGGTGGAGTACGACGACCCGCACTAAGCACATTTCTTGACTGACACCGACGCAGAGGTGCCCTTGCCTCCTTTGAGACCCCGCACGCACACCAGAACGCACCAGTAGGACGAGCGTTACGCGCCGTATATACGTCGTGTTGGCTTCCTCGAGCTTGTCCGTGTTGTCAACTACGGTCTTCCACCCCTTGACCTAGCACTACTTACTGCAGCTGTAGACAGGTGTGAGTACCTTCATTATACGTAAACATTCTTATAACAAATTTGAGGTAACTAACAGTCGTTCTATTCTTATAATAGGTGGAGGCCTGAGACCCACACGTTCCACCTACCTTGCGGCAAGATGACCTTGACCATGCAGGACTTGAAGGCTATCTCTGGCCTTCGGTTGGGGGGACTTCCAGTGATAAGTATAGTTGACAATGATTATTCGAGGGAGCTGGTGGCTCAGTTCACTGGCTTTCTTTCACCGGACGATGAGGTTTCTAAGAAAAATAAGTGAGCAATTCAAGCCTATTTAATACTTGCATTGTTTTCCTGCAGCCATCGGGTCTCATTTTTTGGGTGAATTTTAGAAAAAGTTTTGGTGTTTCGTCATCGTGGATCACAGAGCGCTTTGATTACTTGGACCTATAGGCTGATGAGGCTCAGATCGACAGGTTCGCTAGTGTGTAGCTCAGGCACTTCCTTGGTGCTTTCCTATTCCCAGACGCCTCGGGCAACACCATCAGCTAGATCTTTCTTGACATACTACGCCAGCCATGGGATAACATAGCGATGTACAGCTAGGGTAGCGCAGTCCTGGCATGGATGTATCGATAGCTATGCGTTGCCTGCCGTCGCACCTCAGGGTATAAGAACCTTGGGGGTTGCTCCTACCTACTCTAGGTTTGGTGTTGGGAACGATGGCCCATTGGGAGGCCCCTTGTTACTGGTTTCCCTATAAGTACTTCGGTTCACTATATTTTTTGAGACAGTTACATATGATGAAATTATTAATGGCTAATTCATTATCGTGTTCAATGCAGCATTGAAACGGGCAGAATACACTGCCTACAGCTCTGTATATCTAGACGCAAGCAGAGTTAGTTAGATGGAATGCAAGGCGTAAGTACAGAGAGTACACGGATTGTCTCAACGTCCTAACACAGCACCAGGTTACGCTCTCTTTACTATCATACATGTGTCTTATTCGATGTACACTATATCACAACCTAACTCAATTACGAAATGTTCAGGTGCATTGGTGTCCTTGGGATGCTCCGGAGCTCCAGGACTATCTGAGTCCTGTCACTAGGGATGAGTCAGACGAGTATCGCTGCAACGTCCCTCTTATTTTCTTCCATGTGGTTGAGATTCACTTGCCCATCAGGGTTTGAAGGCAGTTTGGAAGAATGATAGGCTACCCACCACCGCTTTACTCCACCAACCAAGAATTACACATTTGTGTTATTGATTAATAACAAAGCTATAATTTAGAGGTGTGTATGGTACAACTAACAATCGTTTTGTTGCAGGTATGACCGCAGGAAGAGGTACAAGTCTAAGGATTAACGCGTGACACACAACACGTACATCCAGTTGTGGCAGAAGACCCGGGACCGGAGCCGGTCGATGCGGGTCTCCCACATGACCAGCACACCTTTGATGAGTACCTGCAGTGGCTTCACAGGTCTATGAGGACACATATCAAGCCCCGTACACTGAGGAGGCGATTAACGAGGACGATGAAGAAGATGTGATCGAAGATGTGTATGATGTTGCCACTAGGGATGACACACAACTATAGAGAGCCACACTTCAAAGATACGTGGTAAGATACTCGAATGGTACAATTTGTT